AATCCTCATTAAACTTTAAAAGACCAAGCAAAGTCGAATAGCAACCTCCTCCATCAACTTCTCACCACTCCATTCCACAATCCCACCACCCTGTACAATGTAAATGCTTCAAAACTTTTACACTCCTGTCTTAAATATTTCCCTTATTTTCTTGCTTGCTCAACTATGCATTAAAAATGATTTAAAATATTGTGAGCATTCTAGTTATTTTGCTGCTTATAAATATGTTATAAATGAATGCCTTGCTTTTCTGTTTATAAATATTATATATCAAATAAAATCGCTTACCAATTCACTTTAATTGGGCAAAGCAGTATTTATAATCTAAAGTATATTAATAAATAACTGTGCTATAGTTTCTATTTCCTTTTCAGCATTTTTTTCTATTCAGAAATCACTTGGGAAGTATAACACATGGTATAAAATTCAAATTAATTTTCCATAAACAGCACTGCATCATAAATTTTTTATTTTCAGAATTTCAACTGACTGTAATGGGCTGCCAAATTTCTGCTGTCATGTAAATAGAAAAAAAAAAGAAAGAAAGAAAGAAAGAGGGGATAAAATGTCCTCAATCTCTCCACTACTTGGAAGAGGAGTAGGATAATTTAAAACTTTCCAATTTATGCCAATGATGTTTTGGTGTCACATACAGACCATCTCACTTGGCAGTTTCCCAGCTGATCTACTCCTAATATAATCTATCTAGCTGTAGACAGAATTAAATGGTTTAGTATATATAATCTCTATGTAATTTTATTTCATTCCAGAGAGAACATCCAGGAAAAAATTAAAAATCAACCAAAATTTATTTTGCATATCTCTATTTTTGCTTCTTTTTCATTTCAAAGCCCCTCTTTTTATTTGCTGTCGGGAAATTGGTAGATACCATATGGCTAATATATCAGCCAAGTAAAGTTCTGCTTCAATTGTGTTACCAGAAATATATTCAACATCTTTTTATTTTTTGCTGTGTCATCTCAAAGAATGAGTCATATGGCAGGATCAGACAAATAGAGCCCAGTGTAAGCGAGTTTCTAAAATTAAAGGAGATAAGAATGAGAGTGAAGCATGTAAGTGCTTCTCAAATTATGCCTTTCTTTTCAGTCAACAGACCTGGCCTGTGAGCAAGAGGCCATTCCAGAGTCCCTGTTCTCCACTCAGTGGAGTTGATATGTATCTTTTTTAAAAATATATATTTTTATTGACTTCAGAGAGGGAGAGGGGGAGAGATAGAAACATTAGTGATGAGAGAATAGTTGATCAGCTGCCAATTACATGTCCTCCCCACCCCCCGCACCCCCACCCCGGAGATTGAGCCCACAGCTCCAGAATTGAGCCATGACCTCCTGGTTCATAGGTAAACACTCAGCCACTGAGCCATGCTGGCCAGGTGAGTTGATATGTATCTTAGTAAACTCCTTTGTTCATGAAGAGTAACTCATCGGAGAATAGGTTTCCCACATTTTTCATCTTTTAGAAAATGTTTCACTTCTAAATGAATCTTTAAAAAGCTCTGAAATGTGTAACACAATGCTACATTTGTTTTTCAGTTATCAGGAACAGTAGAGCCATTTCTTGATAATCATTTCTAAGAAGCTTGAGATAATATACGTGTTTCCAATATGACTACTTTTAAGAATGTCCGTCCTTATTTTCAACCCATATTTTTCACTTAGCTTTGCCTTTGACATAGAAATAGTAAAATTTGCTCATCAGAGCTTTCATATCATCAGTCACTAATTGCACTAAGAATATGTCAACATATGCAGATGGTATTGTTTTATGAGGTAGATCTGTGACTTAGATCTTCCTTTTATTGAAACATTTTGCCAATATGTCAATGGTGAAAATCACCTTGCACTAAATAAACGTAACAGAGAAGGTTTTTATTATTATAAAATAACAAGATCAATTTCAATAACAGGTAAACAATTTGTTTGGATCATACAGTACATGTTATATATGACATGCCTGATATGCTGCACATTGTAATACATGTTACACATTTTCTGTTCATTGGAATTATTTGAAAAGCAGAATGTCCTCATTAATTTCTGGTAATGTCAAAATGTCTTTAAGTAGCAGAAAGTGGTAGTAGAAATAACTTTATTGTTAGATAACCACGCTTTAAAATCCTGCTTCTTCCACTTATTACTCTAAAATCATCTTTACAAAATCTTTACTTTCATCAAAGTGATGTATGAGTTAAAAATACCTTCTTTCTGTTAAAAAGTACTGGGCACAAATACAGTCTCTCTTCTTCCATGTTTACTAAGAACATGTAAAAAGTAGAATAAGCTATATATTTAATAATAAGTAAGGTATATAATTCAAGTTCTTTAGTGAATTTAATAAATGATCACTAATCATTTCATCATTTGTACTGATGATGTTAGTGAACATAATGACCAATAGTATTTCAACATTTATCAGTACTTTGAGACTTTCCTGTGTCATTGTTTTCAATGTTGCTTGATAACCTTCTCCAAAGCTCAAAAGCCTTAGTCTCCTCTGGCTTCTAGTTCAGTTTCATGACACTGCTGTTATTTTCCAGCTCCTCATTTGCCCTTGGTCAGCTTCATTCTCCATTTGTGGGGTGTGAGTCACTTTGCAGTAAGAGCACATAAGGACGGATGGTCTTTAAGGCAGAAGACATTGGTCAAAAGAACTGTAGTACTTTTCCCTTTCTTCAATGAGTACAGAAGGCCTGGAAGAGAGCTACTACACATATAAATATGAAAGATGAAGGAATTTGGAACCAAAGCAGCACCAAGTTTATGACTTCCTGTTATAGATGCTCTCCTTTACTCTAAGATCAATTTATAATGATAATATCCATCAATAAGACATACCAATTATAAACCTTTATGTACATAATATTGGAGTTTCAAAATACATGAGGTAAAAACTGACAGAATTGAAGGAAGAAACAGACAATTCAACAATATTAGTTGAAGTATTTAATATTCCATTTTCAATAATAAAGAGAATAACTAGATAGAAAAATAACAAAATAAAATACATAAATGTTATAAACCCACTACAGTAACACGGAGGAAAGATCATGTGAGAACACAGCAAGAAGGCAGCCATCTGCAAATCAAAGAGAGAGGCTAGCTTCCAGAATGTCAATAAAATAAATTTATGTTATTTAAGCTGCCCGGTCTGTTGTATTTTGTTAAGGCAGCCTTAGCAACCTAATACAAAGGACTTCAACTCAAGAGTCTGACCAGAGAGGCCACAGTGCTAACCTCTAGTCTAAGGTATTGTGGCTTACATGTTTACTCTCATTTTTCTTGATTTTTAAATATGTATGAGTCATTCTAATCTATCTATGTTATTAATACCCATTTTCACCCTTTTATTCCAGACAATTATAGACAGCTATTTAGGCATCTAAAACTCACCTTAGGTTCTGAGTAACTTGTGATAAGTTTTGTGTTGGCCCACAAACAATGAATCTCAGCCCACCCCTGGTTCTAGACTACCCATTTTAGAAGGTATAAAATAATTCTGTTAAGAAACTGTTTCAGAGACAACCTGGAGGTTCTGAACACTAAAAAAAAATTAGAGATAGAAAATACCCCACTGGAGTAGTTTGGTTAGTGTAATATTGCCTCCATTCATCCTACCAGGATTTCATCTCTGCTATGTGATTAGTTAAAGAAACCAGAGGAAATGACAGCCTCCTTATTGAACATGCTGTATATCCATGACCTCAGAAGATCCGGCCCAACATTTTAGAAGAGTACATAGGCAGCAGGTGAAATCCGAGAGCTTTTTGCCTAGACCAATGCAGAAATTAACTGTCAGAGAAAAATAAATGACTAAGCATTTGTGATTTAAAAAAAAAATTCAATTATCAATTCCAACCAATATGAAACATCTTCTTAATGTGCAACAAAAATGTCGAGAGCATTTATTCTTAAGTCAGTAGATATTTAGCTTCCTACACTCATAAGATTTTCTTTTATTTCTTTTAATTTGCAATAACTGGGACACATTGCATTGAGTCATGTGTCGAAAATGTTAGTGATAAAAAAAACACATCACAGTAGCAAAATTCCTACAATATACATTTCTTAAAAACTAAATTGGGCTTATGATTTGAATGCTTATATTCTGTCAGAGTTCAAAGTGCCTATAATGTCAATCAACTGGAAAGACTTCTGGTACTATTGACATGTCAATCAATTGAAAAGATTTCTGGCACTATTGATATGTCAATCAATTGAAAAGACTACTGGTAGTATTGACAATTTATCCATCTATAAAGCAAGTAGAAATGTTATATTTTTAAAAAATAATAATAATACCAACCTGTCAAGAAAATAAAGGAAATACTTAAATGATAAGTACAAGACAGGTATAAAAAATCCAAAAAAGGATATCAAATATTGATGACAGACATTAATCTGAGTTCTTTTGCTACTCCTGTTTCACCTAAAGGTTTGGTTAAAATAGTTACTAAAAGTACAGGAGACAAAGCAGGGCTCTGAAACACAGAGCTGTGAATAAATTTGGGACTCCCTAAAACCCAGGTTAGACACTTGGTTGATGGGGGAGGGCAATATTTAATCTCCATCATTCACTACTGCAAACATCAATTCTATGTAGGTCAAGGATTAAATGTCAGAAGCAAAACTGTAAAATACTTTGGAAAATAAAGGAAAAACGCATTTCCTAAAGAAAAATATTCATAAATTTCACAAATTTTAATGTTGAAAAATAGGAAAGACTTAAAATTAATAGGTTGGAACACAAATTAGGAATTTATATTAATAAAACAAATACCACAAAATTTAACATGAAGAAAGAGACAAATAAAAAAATATAATGAAATTAGTGAAATAGGAAACAAAGGTACAATAGAGTTTCAACTAATCGATCTATAGAAGGCCTATAGCAATTCTAATAAAAGACATATTAATAATGAGTAGTAGAGAGGAAAGATAAGTATGAATTCAACATATGTATTTCAAAAAGTGAAGATTATTATAAAATGTAGGCAAATGAATTTGAAAACTTTATAGAAAATGGTTAATTTTCTAGAAAAATACATACAATAACAAAACTGATTCAACTAGAAACTGAAAATTGCAATAGACCTCAAATCATTGAGGAATGGAATTAGGAGTTTAAATATTTGCATAAGGAAAATACCAGTCTCAGATAATTTTAATTGAGTTCTACCAAACATTCAAAGAAGAAATAATCTAATCTTACCTGAACTCTTTGGAAGGCTAAACTTTTTTAGAAATATACACATAAATGATAAAACTATAGATAAAATAAAATTAATAACATATTTTGGATAATTATTTGTAAGCAGGAACCAGAAGGCATTATGTAGAGACATGAATGGGGATTTAATACTATTGATAATGGCTTTTCTTTCCCCTCTCACCATATATCCCCTCTTTACTCTCTTCTACCTCCACTCTTCCTCCCCCCTGCAATCATCACACTGTTGTCCCCCATGAGTTCTCTCTCTCTCTCTCTCTCTCTCTCTCTCTCTCTCTCGGCTCAATAATGGTTTTAAATCCTTTTTATCTTAGGCTGAATAGTGAATATATGGGTACTTCTGTTATTCTCTATATATACTACAAAATTCTTAACTATTAGCAACTTCAAAATAGTTTAAGACCAAAATGCTTAACTTTTTTATTTGATTTTTCAATAAATTATACATTCACATAGTTCAACAATAAAAAAATGTAGAAAGATGAGAAGTGAAAATTTCTTTCCCATCCTTGTTTCAATTCACTCAATTTCTAACTCTCCCAACAACCAATGTATTAATCCCTTTACATTCTTCTGCATGTCCTTATTATAGAAGCAAATGTGAACATTTATTTTTAGTTCCTTCCCCATGTTTTTACATTAAGTATAACAATATAACATATTCTGTACAATATTCTATACCTTTTTTCTTTCTGAATATATCTTAGAGATCTTATTATTTCAGTATATAAGTGTTCCCTCATTTTTTTTAGATTTGTATAGTATTCTAGTTTAAGCAGATTATATCAGATCTTTATAGTATCTTTTCCATGTATATGTCATATTTCATATTTTTTTTGCATTTTTTTCCAACTTTTGTTCATGCAATTATCCTTTGAATACCATCATAGGTATAAAAGCCTCTGCTTCAAAATTATCAAAGCATTCTTTCATGCTTTCTACTGATACTTCAATGGTTTACTGATTTTTATTTGAATTTTTAATACATTTGAAATTTATCATAATATATAGTATGATGTATGGAGCTATGCTGTTTTTAATCCTAATTTATTTTCTCATAGAGAAATAATATTTAAAGTAGATTACTCTCAATTTAGAATACAATAATACTATTGTTTTAAGACAGTGTGCATTATTTTAAGAGAGTATTATTCTTTGTAACATTTATATTCTCAGTATGGGTCTAATACAGTGTTTTCACACATTTTAAAGCCATGAAAAAGCAGTTAAAAAATCAGGTCAAATGATAATGGCTAAGTAACTTCAAAGCCACCCTTGCCCAAATTCAACAATAGCCATGCTGAGATAGCCTCAGGCATAATCTGAAGCAGTCGGCCCTTTTACTCCCTTCTGGGCTGAATTAAATACTTTTGTTTGCTTAGATTAACTGATTAATATCCATAGTTCTCTACAATATTCTTTTTAAGATTTGAGAGAATTCAATCTGTTAAAGATTCCAGCCCATAACATTCCTATAGTAAATCCTATGAGAAAAGCACACCATAAGGTAATGCAGTAGGAGAAACACCTGAATGGATGAATGAATTTGTGGGGAAGCTCTCTCCCAAACAGGAGCATAGCGCTCCTATTTACCTAGTTGCTTGCCAGCCATTATGATAGCAAAAGTCTCCAATAGCCTGGCCTTCTACTTGCCTTCAATCATGGACAAATGTAGGGAAGATAATCAAGAGATAAGTTGAGTGGCTATAATGAGCTGCATCCCATCCCATTTTCTGGAAGTCAGGAACATATGCTTCTAAACACAGATAGTCAACATCACTGAGTGACTATTGTTTTATTTAGACACTAGAGACCCGGTGCACGAATTCATGCACGGGTGGGGTTCCTCAGCCTGGCTGGTGATTGGGGCCGATCAGGGCCATCTCGCCCAGTCCTGATCAGGGCCGATTGGGGCCAGTGGCTGGGAGGAGGGACTGCAGGAGGTTGGCTGGCGGGGGGAGCTTGGCTGTGGGAGCGCACTGACCACCAGGGGGCAGCTCCTGCATTGAGTGTCTGCCCCTTGGTGGTCAGTGTGCGTCATAGTGGCCGGTCGTTTGGTTGTTCGGTCGCTTAGGCTTTTATATATATAGATAGGCTTGATAAAGTTTCATCTTCCTGCAAGACTTGGCTCATCCATATTTACTGATTACTAAGATGCTGAAAGAATTAGAATAGTGGATGTGTTCAATCTGTTCCTAATTTGAATGTCCCTGAGTATTGCCCTCTTTGTGTTAGCAGATGTTTACCTAGTATAATACTGGTGGAGAATTCCAACCACAGAAAACGGTGTGGGGAAAATAAAATGGTGTCACATGCAAGTAGAATAGAATTTAAAAGGGTTGGAGAACAAGGGAGAAGTTATTCAAAGCAACAACAAATCACCAGATTGGTTGAACCTTGGTTTTAGTACCAGCATTTCCCTTAATTGGTTGTGTGACTTCTAAGAAGACAGATCTGATGGGTGTCCATTTATATACAAATGAAATGAGCAATTTGGATTACTTAATCTTTAAAGGATATTCTAGCAGTAGCATTTATCATTATCAAGGAAAGAAAAAGAGAGAAGTAGTTTTTTTATTGTGATGAGTAGACCATGCCTGAGGGACAAGAAAACTTTTGGTTTATTTTTACTTATGTGTTATTAATTATCTTTTTGTTAGTTTCCATTAATCAAATATATTAAATTGCCAAAAATCCTCATAATTATTCCAAGTTAAAATATGTATATTTACATATTTCTAGGGTTTTTTTAAGTCTTAAAGTTTTTCTATAGTTTGTTTTACCATTCTTGAGAAAATTTTGTTAAAACATTTTTACAATTCCCTAATATTATTAAATGACAAAAGAGCATCTGTGGCAAAATAAGGTTTAAAATCCTTTGCTCCTAAAAATGCTTTCAAATACCTTTACTGAATAAGTTGTGTAAAAATCACTATTTTTTTTCTAGAGACTGGTTAAAATCTTCACTATGTAACCATGAGGGAAATAAATTTATAAGGACTTCATAAACAAAGAATTCACACACAAAAAGGCAATCTGAAGGGCATCTATACTTTCTTGCATCCAGAAACAAGATGCTTTATTATGACTATAATAGATTAGCTATTTTTCTTCATAAATATAATGAATCAATTGGTGGTGGTCTGAAATATTCCTTTATGAAAGTCAGTATGTGAAATTAGAGTCAACTTTTCTGTTCATTACTTAACATGACATCCAATCGGCCCTAAAATAGACACTCTCCTTTTATATGAATAGACATAGGGAAAATTAATGTTTCCTTTAGATGGAAGTCATTTGCTGGTTGTTGGTGTGTTGTTGTTGTTTTTTTAATTTCATAAAAGGAACACTTACTGACTCATGGCTTCTTCTAAAGGAGTTATAATCAATAGTTACGGCGTCCTCTACTCTGCCCATACTTTCAGATTTTTCCATGATAAGTTTTTCAAGGTTTTTTTATAATATGATCGCTTTCTAACTTCTCATTAAATTATACATACCAGCAAGAAGTAATCCTTTCAATACTACCTAAATTAGTGCCTCTGGAATCATAATGGTTCAGATATACCAAAACCTATCCAGGAAAACGATGGTTTTGTGGTTCTGACTGCGGATAAGGGAAAATAACAGATTAAATAGAAAGATTAAATTTTCTATCAGGATTTGTTTATCTTTGGTTCTTCTTTTCTGATGAAAAACAGTGTATATTTTTCAGTTATAATGAATTAAAGCAGTATAGAATTTACCTTAAAAGGGACAAAATTGGACAGGAGCTGGCATATTGTGAGATTCATTTCCCCTGAGCATCTGCAACCCTGGCAGCCACTGAGCAGAAAGGAAGGAACCAAAGAAGCCTGATAGCCATCCCCATGACAGCACTGATATGAGATTGTATTGCATTTTTCTAAGAAAAGACCAGATTATTAAAATCTAGCTCATACCGCTGACACAATCATTGCCCCATTGCACAGACGAGGAAACAGTGCCAGCGGTCACACAAATTAAACTAGTAAATCTTCGTCACACTTAAAACGCCCCCTGGCAGTGTATAACTTTAACTGCTTATTTTTTATTTTTTTGAATTTTATTTTATTGTTTAAAGTATTGCAGATAGTAGTACATATGTCTCCTCTTTTTTACAGTTATAATCTGACGCCCCTCCCCCCCCCAGTGTCTTGTGTCCATTGGTTATGCTTATATGCATGCATACAAGTCCTTCAGTTGATCTCTTACCTCCCCTTTCCCCCAACACTCCCCAGCCTTCCCACTGTAATTTGACAGTCTGTTCAATTCAACAAAAGGAAAATAAACAATCCAATCAAAAAAATGGGCAAAGGACCTCAATAGAATCTTTTCGAAAGAGGACATTTAACTGCTTTTTGTATGCCTTCTCCACTAGAGTGTGACTTTCAGAAGGGCAGGGGCGTTTACTGCTGTATCCCTCTAGAACGGGCCTGAGGCACAGTAAGTGCTCAATAAATATTTGTTAATGTTAAAAATGAAATAAATTGAAGTCATCATTGAATCTGCTCCACTGCTTCAAGGGGAAGACTTTATAACTGCATGTCCATTCTACCATTCTATAAGTGAAGAAGTGGCTTTCTCGTGATTTGAACTTATACCAATTTTATCAAATATATTTGATTGAACCAACAATAAATTCCAAATAATATTGCACTATAGACACATGTTTGAAGTCCATTTAAATGCCTTTTATACTTCCAAATACTAACACCAATTTCATATATCTCCATATTTTAATGACACATTTATTCATAGCTACTTGATATGGCATGTCTTCTAATTTTATAGGGATTTGGTTTATATTGAAAAAATTGAAAGGGTATATATGCACATTCACATTTCTGAATTTGAATTTTCATTTAGTGACATTTTATTTAACAGAATTCTATCCATCCTCAGAAATAAAAAAGACATGAAATAATCTTTACATGAAATGAAACATTAATACTAGTTTTAAGAATATAATAGTGACCTGTAAATTTTCAAAATCCATTTAAAAGGTGAGATCATTAAATTTACCAAGAAACATATTCCTAGAATTCAATCATAAAAATAACTTATGAAGAAAACACAATTCAGTAGACGATAACATGAACTATCTTCTGCCTATTGTGTATATTTGATCTTGAACCCTTTTTTTTTTAAAGTGATGCTAAACACAGTCTTGAAGGTTGGCGGAGGCAAATGGCTTCCCCTGTACAGACTGTCGAAGCTCAAATAGTAAGAAATGCAAGAAAAGTCTACCTTTTTCCTGAATAAGAACCATTTAGTCTCATCTCAATAGGTCTTCCAAATTCCTCATTAACCCTGATTGCCATATATGTATGTAACTGAAAAGACACATGATCCATATTGATCACAAATATGCTGCAGAGTACCCATCACAAAGCCACTAGAAGACTGGATGTCTTCTGAAAACATTTTCAAACATCTATCCTTATTCTTCCGGTTATAGTTCCTTCTTCAATATCACTGGCCAATATTTTATTTTCAGTGTCCTCAAAATAGAAGGCCTGTTAGATTATAAAACAGAGGCTTGAAATTACAATGTAGAGAAAGGCACAACAGTGTCTTGGAGAAAAAGGAATAACATAGGTTTTTGTCAAAATGAAAGGATAAATTGCAAACGATAAAAATAAGAAATCCATCACACCAAGAGCCAATATCTAAGATATTTGTTTACTAAAATTATGAAGTCAGTCCAAATAGTAGAGAATATAAGCATAGAGATAGTTAAGGATGATAAATTATGATTGCAAGGTTCATAAAATGACAGCTGCAGTTAAAATATAGAAAAGAGGGAGAAAGTTGGAAAACCAGTTAAAATAATGAGTCTGAGCAATCACTGTCATGTGGGGTCAGAACTATAAATTTTAAAAATAAAAAACATGTAAAGATATAAAATATAATATCTTATATCTTAAGATAAGGTTGATATAGGTTTCTCTTCTGGGGTTTTATAGACTAATTGGTTTCAATATCTAGATTTCTAGATCACGGAGAGATCTTAGAAACATCTAAAGGCTTTCTCATTCATCTTCTAATCAAACGAGATTATCATTTCTTTCCTCATCCTCTTCTTTTCCTTTGCTTTTCCAGTAAAAGCGACTATACAGGCATTTTCTCTTAATCTGACTTCCAGTATTGAAAAAATAATGATCTTTTAACTTCCTGCAATTTTTTAGCATTGGAATTAACTAGGGTAATCAATGAAAAACAATTTACTGCCCTAGCTGGTTTGGCTCAGTGGATAGAGAGTCAGCCTGCAGACTGAAGGATCTCAGGTTCGATTCCGGTCAAAGGCACATGCCCAGGTTGCGGGCTCAATCCCCAGTGCGGGGTGCACAGGAGGCAACCAATCAATGATTCTCTCTCATCATTGATGTTTCTCTCTCTCTCTCTCTCTCTCTCTCAAATCAATAAAAATACATATTTAAAAATAAGAAAAACAATTTACTATGGTTTC